CCCGGATATTTCGACGTAATTGCAACTCCCAAAATTCTCTGATATAATTCGCGAACGATTAAATCCCGTGTTAAGTGACGTACAAATTTTTTCTGTTATGGGAAACAACGATAACTGGACGTATAAAGGAAAACAACAGAAGCTTTCAGCGGCGTGACTTGTCTAGGTAATAAAGCGCATCTGGAATGAGCGTAGCCATCGAGATAAAGCCAGAAATGAATTAAATATATGAATGCCTATGCAGTGGACCGTTGTATCCGCTTATGGACTTCCATAAAGCATGGCTAACGCCGCGGAGCGTAAACAGAATAGTGCATCGTGTAGAAGATTAAAGAAGTACTTACTATCTAAGGAGACTATTGACAAGACTTTTGACGCTTCAAAATTGGATGAGACTTTTTTCTGATTGAAATCGTGACATTTTTTTTCATAACAAACAGATTTGTGTCGTGACACACCGTAGGGTGTAGGATACCTTCAGTGTCATCGTGTCAAGTATTTAGTATTTTTTTTACAGACTGTACAGAAAGGACACGAACAAAGGAAAAGTTTTTCAAACTGTTGCGATAAAAATGTGGCATATCGAAATGTTTTATAGCTTTTCTAAAAGGAAAAACAAAAAACACGAATTATAGCGAAACTTTCTAAATAAATTAGTGAACTATCGTGTTTTAAAACAGTTCATTTTAAGAGATTAGCATATACTATGAGCAAGCTAAAAATATTAAGTCGTAACGGTGACTTCCAATATTATCATACAAGTGTGTTAAATATAGATTTTCGGATGTGTCTTGAATATCAACGTCTTCATTAATTCTTTTCGGACTTATGACTCATGCCTTTAAACCTCTGCATTGAATTTATTAAGGATGCACAGCCAGTATAGACACAATAATATTAAAATATTCGTAATTTCTGTTGAATATAATAACTTTAAATTCCATGAGTCAAAAATGTATTTTTTGAAACAATATAACTATCTTGTATTAACAAAAAAAAAGTAATTTATTAAAATTAAATGATCAAATACGTCTTATGTATTTAATATAGACCCGTCTTTCAGTCATATACTGGCTCCATATAAAATGCAAAATATTCTGCGATAAACGCTCTGTGTTATGGTTTAACATGAAAATATGATCGCCAACAACAATCTGCAGATCGTTTATAGATATGATCATGCAAAAAGGACTAATACATATTAAAAACTTTTATCATTCTCTATCAACGTGCTACACTATTACATGATTCGCGCAGTCTTCGTGTAATCAGAAAGTCGGTACTAATTGATTTTTCAGAAGTGTAATAAAAACATTTTATTGCTTTTTATCATAACCCGAGGCAATGAATTACAGATAAAAATACGTTACATATAGTGGATTTATGAATTACACGGAGAAGGAAGAGATGGCGTTATTAATGGTGCCGTAATGAGCGTTTGTCTGTATTCCTGGCCGTGACCACAATATTCTTTCATTTATGGAAAGCGCTGTGCAACAAACCCCGAAAAGGAAATTGTTGATACCAGGGGATCATCAATCTAAGACCCATGACCACAAGGTATTAGTAACAATTAACATTCTAATGATAACGGTATTCGTTACACCGCTCGTGCTGTAGCCTCGCAGAATGGCGGTGTTAACACTAAACGTACCGCGAACGGTCAAACGACCGTTCAAAATTTGATTTAAACTTCCTCCTTCCTCGTTCAATTAACATTAACAATTCCTATATTACCAGATTAATCAGTTTCTCAATTCTCGTCTTTTTTTTCTGTTTCTAAGGAAAAATATTTATCATTTAACCAGTTTACTCTTATCTTATGAAAAATCATTTGACTACTTACAATAGGTGTATACATAAAGTGTACGTTTAGCGTTAATAATTCAGAAAGATAAAAAGGAGAAATAAAAATCACTTAGGAAACAAACAGTAGTCGCATAAATTTTTCAAAGGAAGTAATTGAGACCTCATAATAAAATGTAATTACGATAAGATAATAAAGAAAAGAACTGTATTGATTGTTGTGGGAACGCAATTACAAATGATAATGAAGAGTATAAGTAATCGTATAGTCTTCGGTTTTGTTTGCGTATTGTTGTGTTACGTGAAATTTATGTGCGGCGTAACACGAATGAAAACCCCGGTACCGTAAGGCGTAATAAATAATCTCATGGTCATTCTTCGAGGAAATCTGATTCTGCGAAACGATTCGCATGAACAATGCGTTACAATTCGAAGTGTTCATGGGCAAGATCAGCAGCGGAAAGGAAGCAAAAATAAATGCTTCTCTGCAGTTTTATTGCACGCGCTCTGTCCGTCACATTTCGCAGGTCTCGGATTTCTGCGTCCGTGGAATTCTTCTTGACTTCCGAATACCTGTCGCTCGCTCGGCAAAAGTTCAGATCTGATGGACGAATGAATGAAAACGTGCATGGTGATTCCTCTTCCGGAAGGTATACGCTACTGAAAACATTTATTGTGAATTTTCTTATCGTTTATGTCCGTTCCGTTGCTACAGGAGAACATCGAATACTCAAAAAATGGCGACTAAAACTACCGATCGATTAATATGATCCTTATAAAATATATATAATTATAAATCCTTATAAAATATATATAAAATATTATAATAATCCTTATAAAAATTCCAACAACAGAGTTTTTCATTGAACTGAAATTTAAGAAAACTGAAATCCGTCATTCTGACGGCTACGGTGCTTCTAGCGTTAATGAAACATTCCTTATGAATGAAAATGTTTAATATGAAAAAGATATTTCAATAATAATAATTAAGTAATTTTGACATTAGCAATTTACTTAAAGAAGAAAAGAATTCCATGCTTATTTTACGTATACATTCAGCAACGAAAGTGTTCGAACAACATGCGAAGTAAATTACAATTAGAAAAATCTGATAAATACTGAAGTTGCACTCATGGTACATACATCCAATGAAATTTAATATTTAACAATACGTAAACAAAGTATGGAACACTTATCGTGTTCAAGCACGAATACTTTTTCGATGGCTACAGATTCACTCCAAAATGTCACAATTTGATTATTCGCTACTCAAAAGTTCAAAGTACCCACAGGCAGCACCATCACGCGTATTTTCCATTTTACCAAATAAACTACATCCCTGCAGGAGAACGCGTACCGAACTTTCTTACATCCAACAAAAATTCCTCCGTCGGAGTGATGTGCGTACGTACACGCTGCGGCCTCGGCATGTACAGTTTCAGTTTTTATCTCGCACACTTTCGTGATATGCATGTAACGGATACATTTTCCGTCTTGGAGCGTAACAAATGATAACGGTCGGCGATGATCGCCGAAGCTCCCCTTCGTCTTAACGGATCGACGTAACAGACGTAATTACAAAGAGCGCGCGTGCCATAATTGAAACGGTTCCCTCGTTAAGGGTACGCGGCGCGTCACGGCGGCGCGGCGGTCGAGACGATTCGATTTAGTTAAAAAGCAATCATTTCCGCGCGCGAGGCCGCCCGGCATAATCGTTGCCCGGTGCCCGATAGAAGCTAACGGGAGAGCAATTTTCCCGGGGGAATCTCGGCGCGTGACGTCGCACTATGTTCCATCAGCCGGCCGAACGCCGGCGACAGGTATGCGCGGCAAACCGTCGGGAATATGGCCACGTGGACGGGACACTCGTCATTCTCACTTTTTACAAATCGGAGGAGCAGACCTGACGGCGTCGACGGCGTCCGCTCGAGGAAAATAAAATGAAACGCGACGAGGCTAAAACTTCGCCGTTCCCGGCGGTGTTTCGAGCGCGCGGGATGAAAGGGGGAGGATCAAGTTATTCAGAGCATTAAACGATCGAACCACCGGGCTGCGAGCACGCCAGGGACGAACGAGACGCGGCGAAGGAGGATACGCTCCTTCTCGATGCAGGAAGAATGTTATTATGGAAAACGCACACGCGCGGACGCTTAATGGGGATCGACGGCGCGGAAACGGGGGTGCCAAAAATAGAGGATTCCGCTGGAATTATAATTGTGCGCCATTAATTCGCTCGGGTAATATGTATCGTTAGTGCCCGTAACCTCTCAGAAGGCGATCGGATTTTACTGAAACTTTAATTCTTCGGGTAGAGATTAAGAGGGTTATATTAACTACTGCAGTTGCTTCTAACTTGTTTCTGTGTTCCGCGTCCAGCTGTAGCGCGTATGCACGGTGGAACGAGCAGATGTGTTCGGTATTTAGGAAAATAATGTTTTATTTTAATATACGATGTATTTTTAAATTTACAAATTTGGTAGTGTCGCGTTAGTTGATAATACGGATAATTCGTGGAGTCTTTGGGAATAGTTAGAAAATGAATGTTTGTTCCTTTCTTTTTTGAATAAGCATTCGTTTCTTTTGTAGATATTAGATACTACTTAATTCTTTAACTAATTTTAAGTTTACGAATATTCGGGTACTTATATTCTTACCTAAGTAATACCTATTTGTGATACCAGATTAATTTCAATTATATGATAGAAAGATACTTGCTGTCTAAGGGAGTATATTGTTACCCGAATATTGTATATTCGACGAATTTCGTCCGAGCGACTGTTTGCATTTCTATATTGTAATATTCCGGGTGGTTTGATCGAACGCCGACATTGACCCAAAATCATTGCACCGGCAAAAGTCAGCAACCGGCTAAGCAATTCGCTGTTTATGCATGTCTGAATCACGTAATGTTTCGCGATTCCGCCAGTTCACTGACGCTTCCCAAGCGGAAATGCCTGGGCGAGTAAAAGAAACTGAAATGAAATTTTGTTCCGCGGCGAAAATGTTTCACGGATAATAACCTTTAAAGTCTTCGTCGATTGCTCGATTCTCCTCGGGATATTTAAATGGCAGAAATAAAATCCTGTTCCGATTGAAAATATAACAGATTCGTTGCTATATTTTCGGTTTACTTTTCCCGATCTCATTTCCCATTATTTCAGAAAATGGAAAATAAAGTTCCAGTTCCTTGAACTTTTATTCACAGAATTTAAAGAACAAAATTTTCTTAGACTACACAAGTGAAAGAAATTCGTTGCTGTAATTTATAACTTAAACGACTCTGATTCGTAGTTCGTGTAATATCGATTTATTAATATTAATGTCTGAATTTAGTCGAGAACTGTTATTAGGATGGTAAGTGTACCGAGCAGTAATTCACTATTTTAATTCAATAAAATGGTAATGCAGTTTATATTCAAAGCACCTTCTCACCCTTTTCGTTTCTTAGAAATTGCAGATGGTGTCGGAGAACGAGGCTGAGTAATACAGGAGCAGCACAATCTTTCAATTTCCTGAAAAATGAATATGAGATGTAAGAGACTGTAGACGATTACTCGGTACACCTAATAGGATTACGTCTAAAATTTAAGTTTCAAATTGTTAATGAATTATTTAACTCAAGTTTCAGTTAATAAAATGTAAATTAACAGCTCAATATTTCTATATATTAATGTATCAGGTATATTAATTTTCCTGTTAATAAACAAAAAGAAAATAAATAGCTCATTGTCAGTTGCATCTGCTTATTTCATTCAACAATGAACAGAAATCATGTCCCAAGACGATCATTGCCGGAACACTAATCTAATTTCGATTGAACTTAAGAGAATCCGATCGGATGAATTTTTCGACAGCGTGCTATCCGAACGGGAGGAACGGGTTGAAGAAACTCGACGGACGCGATCCAGGCCGAGGATCGAGAGAGAGACGGCGTAGCGTCCGTTCGAGGCCGTCACTGCCCGCGAAGAGGACTCGGTAAGGATGGTTGTTAGCAGAGGCAGCAAGCATGCATTAACAGTACTCTGGATGGGCCGGTGGTTCTCTGGTTCCTTGATTTCCGTTTCTCCCCTCCAGAAGACGGTGCCCGTTCAAGGAACAATCTACCACAGAAGGGAGAATTCTTCCGTGGTACACGCGCAGCAGTTCATCGGGAATCCTCGTGAAAATTGCATCCCTCATCGCGCAGTCCATCCAGATAGGAAGTGTGTTTTATTTCGCACGTGTTATCGGCTACCGGGTACAAGGATAGAAGAAGACCGCACGGGAGGAGATCATGTTGACGGTTCTGATTGCAGGATTCTGCACGGTACGTCTTGTCTCTGTAGACACACTGATTTTATTTGCTGTTCGCGTAGCTGCTGTACCGTTCAAGGATGATTCTTAATTTAGATTAGTTTGGGAAAAGTGGGAATGTAAAGGTCGTTTAATCTTCTATGCTCCAAATAGAAGAGTACCATCTTTCTTTGAACTATCTCTTTTGTACGTAGTTTTTTTATGACGATGTTTGTTATGAATAGATCCTATGTTTGGTTGTTGGACGCTTAGGTTGAAAATAAGAATGAATTATGAGATATTTTTAAAAAGTATGACAATTATATTGTTTATTAATGTAACTTAAAGTTCCCGATTACAAGAACCGTCTGGAACGATGGGGAATGTTTTAAAGTTCTCGGTTTCGATTTCAGCTGTTTTGATAACTGCAAAAATATTTTCAACGGTTTCATTAATAATTCTTATATCGCATATATGTTTTCATGAATAAACATACATTAAGAAAGTGAATTATCGACGTGAATTATACTGCTTTTTATTTAGAATCAATTAACAGTTTCCTAATAAGGTTTATGAACCTGTCATCATCGATCGTTAAATCTAAAAACGATTTTATATAGACCGAAAAATTGTATATATAAAAAGTTGCCAGGAATTTTAACCTGCATCGAATCAATTTTTCTCGACTTGAACATTATTTATTTTACTGTAGATCCCCCATGGATCCTATTAAATTATATCCTTTAATAACAACACTCCTGAAACTAGTAAAAATGTTCATGGACTTCAACTGAACTAAACCCTTTAATATTCTGTTATAAACGTTAACATTAATGTTTCGTTTCAGAGCAAAAATTTGTCACTCATATGGGGGTGACATAGTGCTAAAAGTATTAACACTCATTTATAAACTAATTTCAATCGAAAAATACATTTTCTTCTCTATGATTACACGAGACATTTGTATCACGAGCAACAGAGCGGTACAAATTTTCTCGTTATAACAAGAGCAAGCCTAAAAATCGACTGAAAGTCCGTAAATCGCGTACACGCCGAATAAAAATTGTGCGTTAAAGTTGCTGGGAACATTAACGCTACAGAATAGCTCGCGTATAGTCGATGCGATGTCATTCCGCCGAATAGGAAAAAAAGTGCGCAATTTATGGCGTCGTAAAGGCACGGTTGCGGTTCTCCTGTACGAAACGGGAAAAAATGTTCGTGTATACATACATAGTTATCCAGGAGGCAATCTGGAGAGACGATTCGAACGGAGGGGGCCCGTTTTACGTAACAGATTTCGGTTGTTTCTCTCTTCCCGTTAAGTTACCGGGCGTCAATCGAATCGACTCGTGGACACATACGTGTGCCACTTTGTGTGTTCCTTCGCGCATACCTGTGTCATTAAAATCTATCGACGTTCACGCGTCTCGCATACATTGGTCCACGAGACTATCTAAATTATAGAGATCATCAACCTTATAAAATTGTTCCACCTCGGATATACGTTGTTCGATCTCAATGAAATACGTTAAGTTACATAGTCAGCAATAAAAGCGAACATTATGTGTGCTTACATACAGTAAAGAATTATTTAATATTTAATGAATATGTTATTTGAAATAACTATTTTTTCAAACTCATTGAACATGTATCTGTTTGAATGGAATTATCGCTGTTTATAACACAATAATAATGATTTTAATGATACAGCGTCTCGCATACATTGGTCCACGAGACTTTCTAAATTAGAGATCATCAACCTTATAAAATTGTTCTACCTGAGATATACGTTGTTCGATCTCAATGAAATACATTGAGTTACGTAATCAGCAATAAAAGCGAACATTATGTGTGGTTGCATACAGTAAAGAAGAATTATTTAATATTTAATGAATATGTTATTTAGCAATTATTTATAATTATACTTTTAACATTTTGAAGATCATTGAAATAACAATTTTTTCAAACTCATTGAACATGTATCTGTTTGAATGGAATTATCGCTATTTAAAAAATGTTGAAAAAGAATTTAAGAAATGTTGAAATAGGCAATCACTTTTTATTAGATGCAATTTCGATTTTATCACTAACTTCAGTTTCACCGCAGACATACCAAGCAACTAGGGCAGCAAATGATGACTATGTCGTGTCGAATAACATAACAATAAAACAAAAACGTTCTCGTTTGTCATTACACTTTTATGAAACAATTACAACGATCAACTATCAAGTTCTTTCACTGCAAATAAATTCAATCGTGATCATATTTGAATAATTTAATTTTAAGCTGTCCATTAACTTAACTCTGGAAGTCGTTATGCCTGCGAATGAAGTGATTATTGTAAATTAAATTAGTACCTCTTGTATGGGCACCATAAAGTACAATTTTTTGTCCTGAACTGGGAAATTGATTTTCATAAAAGAAAGATTGATGAAATTATTATAATTGTATTAAAAATAGCAATAATATCATTCGAACAGATATATATTTAATGAGTTTTAAAACATTGTTATGCTAATGGTTTTCAAAATGTAAAATTCACTTAAATAATTACTAAATAACATATTCATTAAATATTAAATGGTTCTCCTTTGTGCTTCTGCTGTTGTTCCATCGAATTTCTTATTATTACCACAGACATAATTAATTCCATTACTATTCGCTGTTTCAATCGAATTTCTTCTCGTTGGCCTTCTCGTTCACCGAACGAATAGGAGTTGCCTAGTCGATCGAAAAAGCGTTAGCGTTTCGATAAAAGTCCATTGAAATCGTCGCGGTCTATAGTTCGACATTCCATTCGAAACAAGACTTGATCGAACTTTCATCAATATTACAAATTAAATTGTTCAAGTACTATAGCCGCAAATCTAATCTTACTTTTCCGGTCTCTAAGCTTACCTATCCTTCATACTTCACTATAATAATATTTTATGTTACCACACATTTTCCATACTTGTTCACTATTTACCAAGAAGTATGAAACATGTAAAAGGAAAAAATACATATTCCAATAAAACACGATCTTACTTATTATAACTTCAAACTTCGGTACCCGAAGTATTATTAACACGTTAAGCGCCATGTCAGTCATTGGTGACCGACGCTTCTGAATGACTAAAAAACAATCGTAACATACAAGACCGATGTGAAATAAAAATGTTCAATAGGGCAACTAAGTTGATAACAGTGTAACGCAAACGTTGCAACGCCAAACAATTCATAAGTATTCCTACTTTTCTTTACTACAAAAGACTGACGCTTCTGAATGACTAAAAACCAATCGTAACATACAAGACAACCGATGTGAAATAAAAATGTTTAATAAAGCAACTAAGTTGATAATAGTGTAACGCAAACGTTGCAACGCCAAACAATTCATAAGTATTCCTACTTTTCTTTGCTACAAAAAACAAACTATGACGTGTTAATTTATATTCGTAGATATTATCGAACACATAGAACAGAAGACACTCGCATCACTCGAGGAAAAGTAACAAACCTAACATTCGCGGTGTAACTCGGATTATTATTTCACTCGTTAATGAAAGCTATTAATCGCCTTGACAAACTGTACCGAATACCATCGCGATATAACGTACATTGCGGGTCGGTTTATCGAGATTATAATCTCGTAAAAGACGATCGAGATACTTGCCAGTATCTCGTACCCGAACACTTGATTGACCTACCTTGAGGAAGTAACCATGACCTATACCACTGTTACTCGTCTGGCTGACCGCACGATGGGTAACCTGTATGGTACGCATAACGAATATCTTAGGTGGGCATCAGAGCGTTTCTTTACACCGTTATTCGAATTGAAGTCTACTCTCCACGCGTGTTGGTCACCTTGTTTCATATCGAAGGCAACGCCACAGTAGACACCGCGATAAACGCGGAACAACCGTCTGTCCCTCGGCGGCGCTGTAACAGAGAATTCAAGCGGCTCGACGTTAATTAAGATTGTTGCGGTTCCGATGTCACAGGGTTAATTAAAATATTACCTGGATACTTAAGAAAGAATTTATCGCTGGACGAATCATCTCTGATTATGGGGGACTGTAATTTAGTTGATTAGAATTCGTAATTGATAAATATTACCGTACGCTACAGTATGCTCTGATTACGTTGTGCTCGATTGATATCTGTGAAATGTACTTATCGGGTCGATGCGAAAGTTTTCACGTTTTTTACGAGAAATAAAAGGAATTCGCTGGCTAAACCGAAACTAAGTAAAACGAAGAATGAACGAACTTTTTTTGTTAACGTAAAAATTCTTGTATCGACCCAATATTTTCTTAGAATATATTTGTCGACAATATTAAAATAGGAATGTAGCTATCGTTATGTAATTTTTATATTCAACAGAAGCAAGTTTTATTTAATAAAATGTTAATTAATAGCTATTTTTATAAATTAATGTATCGGGTATATTAATTTTCTCGTAGAATAAACGAAAAGAAAATAAAGTATAGGATTAAATATAAAATATTTCACTGTATTCAGCTCATTGTCAGTTGCGTCTTATTTTAAATGCATAAAGTATGTCGTGCATTCATGACGATTTAAGTGACCAACAATTTACTTGAGCACGCGATTAACCCAAGGACAATGTACCACGAAAAATTTCAAGAGAATGACTGCTATAACCTGACAACGCGCCTTAAAAAAAATAATGCGGGTCGTTTTGACCCTGTCTTGCCAGTTCGGGGTTTAAGGAACCGTTTCCTTTAAATTGGGACGTCGCTTATTTTCGGTATAAAAAGTAAAGTTCAGGCACGATGTGGGGCACTGTGCACGGTTACAGGCGAAACTGAATGGCTTTAAATTGCCGTAAAAATAGGAAGTAACTTTTTTTTATGATGATTACAGCGAGCACGCATTTTCGTCATTTTCCGCGGCAACCGATGAAACGGAGGGAATTATTCAAGTACGAAAATAAATTGACAACGCACTTTGTATTCGAGACGAACGAGAGATAATGCTCTCGACTGAATTTGTAGAAAATATTCATTCGGATTAAGATTTTGTTTTTCTTCTCGATTAATCGGTTTTATATGAATATAAATAAAATTGAGATAAAATATAGAATAGTATTTAAATATCGTTATTTCTGTATGAAATGTTAAATCAACGGAGTATTCGAATAAATGAACTTTTATCAAAATTCAACGTTCTATTAATAAAGTAAATTTTATTAAATTATTTTTTATTGAAATATTTCCACATGACTTTCATCCGACAATATTAAAATTAAATGTAATTACTCGAATCAGTGAAAAGTTGAATTCATAATTTATCAGTTATCTAGTCACGAAGCGACTTATCAATTTTCCTTTTTTAATTATCTTTTTTCAAGTACTATCTGTCTGCTTATTGCATAAATAATGAACAGAGCTACCAATTAAAACTACCGCTTGTTACTTAACACCACATGTCGTAAACAATATATGTATAGACCGAGTCTGAAATGAATCGGTTACGTCACCTCGTAACATCCGCAGGAAACATTTTCAAAACGCTTCAGAAAAACAAGCTTGAATTCAGAACCATCCTAATTCATTAAACACATTAAATTAATTAAACATAAAGCATCGATAACGCAATTTCACCAAAAAGCAACACTTCCTATATTTCTACATTATTTCACAATTCATCCAATACCAGAAGCAATTCATTCGTTTAATCTTACATCTCTTCAACTCAGCATTCATAAAAGAATACTATCGTCAAGAATGACTGACTCAAACGATCGATACCCTAAAATTAATCCTAATTCCTAATGTATATTTGCAATGGCCGTGCTCGCCGTATAGAATCTGCAATTCGAGGAAGGTCAATTTCATAAAACAAATATTTCACCCGATTAGTCGATGATTGTACGTTGAGTCTCTTGTGCCGGATAGCATTGCCGAAATTAGGGAAACAAACTCTGCGGACGGGAACGATGAAGAATCGTACACGGAGACGTCGCGAATGTTACCGTGGCAAAACCGTGCAGATGAATGACGGTGGTATTGTTTCAGGTTGCCGCCACCGTTGCCCAGGATTACGAGGTCTCTGACATTCAGTGCAGCGGCGCAGGATCAGCCGCTGATTTGCTGACAGCAAAGATCAAAAGGCCAGTCGGCTTCAGAGGGGCACCGCTTTTTGCCGACGACAGATCCGCCAATCCGCTCACCGACATTCACTGCCAGATCAGGCCAGATCCCAATGATCCCCAGGAAGATAACTATTTCCTGAAGGTGACTGACTTCTCGAGATGCGGTGTCTTGAAGAGAAACGTGAGTCGCCCCTTGAGATTTCGTTTTTCCTGTCGATTAAATTCTTCAATCTCGTATACGAACCGTTCCGAAGGTAGCCAAACTTACACGTTATACGGACTACCTTTGTTTTTAGGAGATAATGCATTAACCCTTTTAGTGCCAGGCGAAAAAGAGGTGATGCGAGAATAACCGAATTTCACGGTTTTACTGGGGTTTGGGAAAATGCTCGTAAAAAACGAGAAACGATATTTGCATGATTCAAAAAGCAGTATATTAAGGACGAAATAGAGAACAAAACAGTGACACTAGTTTTTCTGTATTCATTGAAAATTATATAAATAACGTACAAAACGTATTTGCACGTACAAAAAGTCACCTTTTCATCGTAATTTTATACAGACCATTCATTACAAAGTATATACTTTGCATTTCCAATATATTTTAATTTTGTTACGGCGTCTGTTTAAGTAGTTCGTTTATATATCTCTCGGTATAGAGGTATGTTATAACTATTGTTGGATGCCAGCTGTGACACATAGTTACACAAACATGTCTGCTTCTGTGAGTCATCCTCGCAATAGTTATCCTTTCCCTAAATATTTCCTATTTTTCCTCTGTTTCTATTTTACCTTCATCCGTACCCCTTGAACTCCGAATCCTCGCCCTACCTCATCCCCGCTACTCCTATTTTTTCTTTTAAAAAGGACTAACTCAACCCTGCGACCCTTGGTTCAGCACTGTCAAACCGTAACCATCGAAATTAGATCTTTAGATCTTAGATCACACGTCAAAAACCTTTGTAATAAAACCTCCCTTGAAAACTAAGTGTTGCACTGATTTCCACGACTGGGAATGCAAGACTATTGAAATTTACAACGGTTGAGGTCTCATTCGAATTTTCTTGGTAGCTGGAAGCTCGTTCGCTGTCGATGCAATGTAACAGGGACTTCTCGCTTGGCCGTGACCCACGAAGCGCACACTCGAAAGAGATAAAGAGATCCGACGCCGTAATTTCTTGAAATTGGAGGACCTCTTCCGCCGATGTATCGTTTCTCAAAGGAATCATTGCGAACAGGATCGCCTTGATCGTTAAAAGTAATCAAGAGGGACTTCATAGATATAGTCCGAGAACCGAGACAGATTCTAAATCCGAGAATATGACATACGGCGAAAGAAAAGAAGGGGAAGAGATTCGTATAAACGAACGAGGTCGTTTGAAAATTTGAATTCGGGATACGTTTATTCCAGAAGTCTGAATCAAGTTTATACTGTCTTGCGAAATAAAAAGAACACTCCGAGTCGTACGATTTTCTTGATGACGAGCGGAAATGTTTGAAAATCTTTATGATGATGAAACTAAACGTTTCGACAAAAACGATGAACTTCGAATAGAGCATTTTACAGCGCAAATTCACTCGGCGTAATTCGCTCGGAATGCTAATACTTGAAACTGCAGAATCAGTCTTTGATATGAATAAGGAGAAGTGTAATCTTGAAATCCTTTTTTCATTTTTACACGTATAAAATAGAGGGAAATGTGTGTTTATCAATTGAGCATTATCATCGCTTAGGAGAATAACGTTTCCTTATTCGCCGCGGTAGCATCGTGCGATTTTGATGATCAATTAATTTTTATAGATACGTTCTTGTGATACGGCAATCAAGAATACGATACGAAATAATAAAAAGACGATACGATGCTGCGGTATCAGAAATTATGCAATACTCGAGACTACCGTGTCAATAAAAATCTTTAAGATAAATAAACTATGACGTATCGATGACCCAATTCGAAATGAACGTGTCCTTATACGTATCACAATTCTATGAATTCTATCTGTCTTTTCACCATTTAATACGAAAAATAAGAAACATAGTTTTTTCAGTCGATGCTTCTTTAAATTCAACATTGCTCACTTTGTTCAATAACTTTTTATCAATTTTCAGTGTATTTATTTATAGGGTTCGTTCGTGTATAATAATACAAACGTTACATTTTGTCGCCAACATAACGCATAGGTGCCGGGTGAACACATTTTTCATAAAGAAATTAATTCAGTCCGCAAATGACGCAAAGTACGAGTACCTAATAGCTATCGCGGCATTAAATATTTGCATTTCCAGATAAAGCGAAGTTTATTTAAATAATTTAAACCATGAAATATTCAATTCCTTCCATGACGTGTCTCTCTATTCGATTCGATAAAAAATTTTTGCATAGGGTAATTCCGGTGTGATGTCTCCGATGACGTACTGAACCTTGCACGGAGCCCTATTTAACTATTCTTCAGTCAAGGAGAGATGGCCCACATTTTTAAAAAGAACTATTACACGATAAATATCATTAATACCTAACAAAAAGAAATATATTTATGAAGTAAAATATTATATATATATATATAGTTATAATAAAAGAACATTTTATAACATATTATATAATTACTGTTCTTTTATTATGACGTATATATATACATAATAATTTATTGTGCAACAGTTCTTTTTAAAAAAGTGGGCCATCGCTCCTTGACTTACCCTACATAACTTTTCCTTTATCGAATACGTTGTCATACGATTTTATACTGTCAACAGGGTTTCATACACCTGAGAATATGGTTCCCGGCATTCTCTGGCGTAGTAATGCTAGCCGATCAAGAACTGATCCTTATGTGTCGACCACCTGAACCCACGTTACTCCGGCACAAAGCAGCCGGTTTCGCGGGCACATTGTAAGCAGCTAAATCTACTTCAGTCAAATGTTCTTATCGAAATATTTCCGACTATAAATCTATTGGGTGTCTCTAAACACCGGGCACATGTGTGACACGTTAATTTTAACCATTCGAACAATGAGTAACGTTAGTATTTATCTATACAACATTTTGCAATTTAAATTTTTTCTTGTTCAACGACGTAAATTTTCTCTTGTTCAGAACGTAGTAATTTACTAGTACAATATAAAAAGCTAATGCTGATCGTGAACAGGGAAATAATTGATAATCTAAATAAAGCTTTATCACACCCTATCGTGGTTTAGCGTACGCGAATATGAACGACTCTTTAAAGTAAACAATTCTGAGATTAAAAGTGGAACAACTTTTTTCAAGTCGTATTGTTCGAGAATATGAAGGTAGCTTCTTTGAAAGTGACTCCGAATACAGCTGGGTTAAGTTGATTATATAATATTAACCAGAGCACTTTTTACCGTATAACTTGTTTTTCGTCAAGTAGTTTTCCTTCATGAATGTTAATATATTCCTACGTGTACACGGCTGTGTATTTCATTTCGTTTGCAAATTGTCGAAAGAGAATGCTGATGAATAAATTATTATAAATTACGGACATTCACTGTGTCATTCTGTATAATAATGGTGTTTCGTTAGCTGAAAAACTAAAACTAGCACTGGAATTTTTATTTTAACAATTCCACTTATTTTAACTCGTCGTACAATATTCAATTCTTTTGAGTGTAAATTAAATATTATCATTCCGTTATCAATTGTTATAATTCAAAGTAAAAGTAGGTATAGATAAACACGAAATTCATTTTTTTTCGCAGTAAATTATTAACAACATAATTGAAAATCTTAGGGTAAGCGGTTAAAAGCGAAACATGTACCTAGGTTTCCACTTAGTAATTAACCCTTTGCCCTATGACCTCTTTCATAGCTGCAGTCCCTAAAATAACCTTGCCGTTACTAATTTACCGAAAATCAATTAAGAACTCCCAAGTCATCCATACCTACGTTTATTTCAAAGCATAACAATTGATAAGAGAAAAACATTGAATTTGAACGATATTCAATTACAAAATAATTGTGATATTTAGATTTTTGAACTGCCTCGCGAGTCCAATTTCGATATTGTACGGCAAGGGGTTAAAAGAAAAATGAGAAGTTATTTTCCTAATAACATGAATATTCTCAAACGAACGTCCCTTTCAGCCCACACGGGGCAAGAGTGTCCGGGGTGGTCGAGGAAACCCCGGGTCGCCTGGAGTACGAGGTAGCTCTTTATCGCGAAGCCACGGGAAATGTGTCGGACGCATCCGGATCTCAAACCGTCGATCAAGCAGTCCCTATCGGCACAAAGCTTCAGCTGAGGGCTCGGATCAGCTCGGACAGTGCATGGGGATACATTAAACTCTTGGAAGTGACTGTCAGCCCCGATCCCGATCAGCCTCACGCACCAGGAAGCGTCGTTCTCGTAAAAGACGGCTGCAGAAATCGGGACTTCGCTTCGATAATTCCTCATCAGCCGGCTCGCTACCGGGAGAGGAAAAACGAGGTTTTCCTCGACTTCGAGGCGTTCCTCCTCAGCTCGATGAGAGAACGATCCACTTTGTGGATACACTCTCAAATTAAAGCGTGCATGGAGCCTCAGGACTGCCAGCCGGTAAGAATCAATTAAAATAATTGGAGATCTCTCTCGAGGCCCGTTTATTTTTGCTTAAACATCGGCTCGCAGGACTTCTGCTTGGACCTGTTCGAACCGTCGGGACACGGGAAAAGAAGAAGAAGACTGGTGGAAGAAGAACCAAATGTATTTCTTTCTAAAGACAGACGTTCAATAAAGGAATACAATGATTCGACTCCGTTCACGAAATTTAAGGAAAATATAGAGTACACAGTAATGATGCCCGACGGTAAGTATTCAGAGTACATTGTACGTGTTAAATTATTTTGCAAGCTCCAAAATACATTTTCAAATCGAAATACTTTTGGAATGTAGAATTATTATTCTAGTATTAATATGTAATAAATTATTGTCGGAAAGAATACCGTATCACTGTTAATAGTTACAAACGTCGGTACATAATGAAGCAAATAGACAGAAATATAAGCTACAATTGGTACATGTATACTCCAATCTACTGATACTTGATAATCTTCAAATTTTATCTTCTTGAAAATATACGTCTAATAACTTCATTCTTTCTACCGAACAATATTAACCATTTTATTTGAAAAAGCTACAAAATTGAAATTAATCTTTTGGTATTTCATTGTGCAATATATGATATATATAAATTTATATAATGTTACAATTATGAAGCAATGTAACATATTTCTGTCTGCAACATACTTTCGTTACGAATTGTGCAATTACAAGAACTACATGCTTCAGCGACGAATACATTCCAACGAAATTGATTTTACAACGTTTCAGATTTATATCAAAAAGTTGCCGCTGGATTTGAGAATAGCTGTGGAAGTTTTCTTTACGTTGCCACCGGATTGGGTGCACTTCTTGCTTTATCAGCATTTATCATGTGCTATCTGGCTTCTCGTTTGCACAATTTATCATCAACCATACCGCAAAATAAATCAATCGACGAACTCATTCGAGACCGAGCGAGGAAATTTTCTGAGACTGCCCAAGGCTACACCGGTCGATCCACGGTACAATAGCGTAACGTCGCGGATTGTGTATTATATTTGACCAAAATTATGAAATAAGTCCTGTATACCGAAGGGAAAAATTGAGATCATTTCCGGTATACGTACAAGAAGTATAAACACAGAAGTAGCTCGAACTTGTCATAAAAAAGTTGTCCTTTACATCGAATGTCTACAAAAACTAATTAAAAACAATACAGTATGAAATATATAATGTATGTAAATAATACATATACAAGGTGAATCGCTCTAGCTTAGTATTTCAAATAACTTCTTCCTTGGTAATATGGACAAAAATGTCAACAATAAAGATTCCAATGAATATGAAAGTAATTTCTTATGAACCTGATAATACAGTTCAAAATTCTAAAAGTAGGTATATATGGTTATGCAAAGCATTATCTATAATGTCATTAAAACGAAAATACTTAACAAGTGTACTTTAAATCTATATAAATTGATATGATAACAATGCGATAACACAGTAATTTGCTGACCTTGTTTTTGTAGCAACTATATTATTATATTAAATGCATACTAAAAATATTAAGTTCCATTTCTAAGCTGACCTTTGAAGTTTTATTGAAAACATTTTGTACATTTTTTTCTGGAAATTGAATGTACAGAAGTTATTTGAAGTAAACGTATCTTAGACACGTATACCATTTAAAATGAGTAAATGTAATAAAACTTAATAGATTTATTATAGGAGCATGTATCATATTATATAATGTTACTTGTAATACAAAAATCACGAAGAGAAATTTTTTTTTATTTTACAAACACGAAAAAATGTTCGTCTTCTGCGCTGTTTTCTCCTTAACTAATGATTCACCTTGCATGTTTCATAAAGCCAGGTGCACAGAAAATTTATTATCATTTTTTGCACCCAATATATATGACTTTCACAACGTATATGTTTTCTTACACACTTTAAAGTAATTTTTACCGATAAATTTATCAAACGTACAGTGCTATTACGTGACCTGAAAAAATCTTCATTTATAATAATAACTTAAAACTCATTGTAGAATAATCATTCGGGTTTCATGAAGTGATTTTATAATTCCGACACAATGTATATACATACACATGGTGAAATATTTATTACTTATAAATAAAAATTGATTGTCTAAGGATGCTTACCAAGATTTCCTTTGGCAATCAATTAAAATATTTACAAAAAATAAATAGAATAGAATATCTGACTGTGTACATGAACGCGTAATTTGATTATTTATTATAGAATAAGACATTATTTCATACTCATGCATGCAATCATAACTTTATAAACATTGAATTATTTGTAGAAAATTTAACCCATTATTTTATTCTGTTTTCCAACGGTTTCTAGTGTATTATATTATTACCCTTCAATAAATATATAGGGTAATGTCGATTAACAGTGCAGTCGCACACAATTTACGTATCCAATCAACGACGATCAACAATAGCTAATGGCAATAAACCATATTGAAAAATAATTTTTACGATAAATTAAGCAATCAAACGCACGCATACCATTAACACATGTTTTGAAATGCATAGAACAGTTTTACAATGTTATCTTATGTGTACGCTCAAAACCATTCTTTGGTTAATATTTTAGTTTAGAGTAAAAATATTGCAACATTTTGTTACAAAGTGTGGCACTTATTATTTATTTTGTATTTTTAACATTTACCTATAAATATATATTTTTTTCCTTGTATAATGCATCATTTATTTGTATTAATTACACATATCTATTTAACAGGAACGATTGCAAATGTTACTCCGTGTGCATAATAAATACATA